ACGCACTGTCGCAGGGAGTTGTTCCATGCGTGCTGGGAAATATTGTTAGATGAGGACTTTCTTCACGCCTATCGCTATGGTATCGTCATCAAATGTGCCGATGGAGTGCTACGGAGAGTCTTTCCCCGAATTTTTACGTACTCAGCTGATTATCCTGAAAAGTGTGTTCTTTCCGGACTGTTCAACCACGTCGAATCGCTCATCAATCTATAGAGTTTTGATAGCGACTATTAAGGACATGGGTTTGTGTCCCTGCCCTCGATGTCTCACACCGAAAAGTTCATTTAGTTTTCTTGGGCTCGCGAGGGACATGAGAAGCCGAATAACTAATTTACGAGTATATGTCATGGCGAAGGTCGTGAAGGCTCGCGAGTTCATCTCTAGTGGAAGCACTGTTGACGGTGCAAAGGTTGAGGATAGTCTTGGAGAAGGCTCTTGGGTACCTGTCCTGGTAAGCGCAGCTACTTCCTTACAATTTTATAATTGACTACACACTATTTTATGACAGAATGTGTTTGTCCGGAAGCTCGGACCATTCGGCCTTGACCCATTCCGCATGCTTACCGTCGACTTCATGCATGAGTGCGAATTGGGCACTTGGAAAGCACTATTCTCGCACCTTATTAGACTGCTTTATGCCATCCCCGGGGGTAGTCAGCTTGTCGCGACCCTCGACGAGAGGTACGAGATGTTCATATGGACCTGTTGAAAATCACTAACTCCCAATCTTACCGCAGATTTCGACAAATCCCGACATTTGGCAATGGCGTAATCCGTAAGTTTTCGAATAATACCTCTGAGATGAAGCGATTGGCAGCGCGTGACTTTGAGGACATCTTGCAGGTTTGCGAGTCATGTGTTTTCTGTCTACGAATTGCTAAAATGTTCTCAGTGTGCGATTCCGGTTTTCGAAGGGCTGTTCCCCGCTGAGCATGATGCGCTAGTGCAGTCTCTTCTGTATCAATTTGCCCAGTGGCACGCGCTCGCCAAGCTCAGGATTCACTCGGAGTCTACGGTTGCTTTTCTCGAAGAAACATTCAAGAAACTGTCTCAGAAGCTCCGCAAGTTCCAAGTTTACACCTGCGCTGTATTCAATACCGTAGAATTACCCAAAGAAAAATCAGCTCGTCAGCGAAAGGCCGCCGAACGCTCAGATACTAATAATACCTTTGCAGAATCGAGTGGGGCGAGGCCAAAAAAATTCAACTTGGCTACCTACAAGTTTCACGCAATGGGAGACTATGTGAGAACCATCAAGCTCTTCGGAACTACGGATTCTTTCACTACTCAAATTGTAAGTACTATCTGCCTTCATAATAGGTACCTGAAGTCAAGTCTGGCCAGGGGGAGCTCGCTCATAGGGCCCTCAAGTCATTTTATCCGCTGACGAGTAAGTTAGATACCCCGGCGCAATTAGCCAAGCACGAGCGTAGGCGTCGTGTATTACGGCGGGTGGAAGAAGTAGGAGGTATACCTTTCTCTGGCGATCAATCGCGATCCGACGCCCCCCCATCGACGTCCTTCGGAGACCATCACCATATCGCGGCTAACAGGAATACCCCAATACAGCTTTTCGCGTTTCTCCGAGATCACGACGGTGATCCGGCTATCAAGGTAGAAGTAGTATCGCATTTTGAACGCAGTCCGTACTTTACTCACAGCAGTTGTCAGAATTTCCTGCCAAAACTGAAGGACCACATCCTCTACAGATTGGGTGAGCTAGACGTCAGCTATTGTGACCACACCTTTACGGAGGAAGAACGCAACTCCGTGATCATCCCTAACAACACGATATACTCGGTCCATACCATGCAAGTGCACTATACGACTTACGACTTGAGGCGTGAATATGATACCATCAACCCGCGGACCCACGGCGATGTCATGGTACTATCAGGGGAGGCAGCGCCTAGCCACCCGTACTGGTATGCCCGCGTATTGGGCATATACCACCTCGAAGTATGGCTCAACAACGGTGATCAACCTGTGAGGCAGCATATCGACGTCCTGTGGGTTAGATGGCTGGCGGCCTTGCGAAACCATAAATCTGGCATGAAGCATACTCACCTTCCAAAGATTGCATTTGTGGAGGAATTGGACTTGGATGCGTTCGGTTTCCTTGATCCGGGGCAAGTGATCCGAGGAGCCCATCTTATTCCTGCGTTTGCCTCGAAACGTGGTACAAGCGCGCTTCGCCATGGAAAATCATTGGCACGTCCGATGGGGGAGCTCGACGACTGGGAGGAATACTATGTTGGGATGTAAGTGGGGATATCTTTTTCCCTGGCGCCTTAATTCTCAAACTTTTGCGCAAGATTTGTTGATAGGGATATGTTTGTACGTTACACTCACCTCGGTATTGGACATCCAGCCACGCTTCGGAAGATTGCCCAGGACACTCTCGGCTCTTATTCAGTGACAAGGGCCGACACCATCGAGGTCGTCAACGGGGAGGGTGAGGATGATGTCGAGGGTCTTGAAGAATGCGAGGGTGTGCAAGGGGATGATGACATCGGGGGTCTTGAAGAATCCGGTGACGAGCTTAGTGATGGGGAGCTGGATGAGGAAGACAGTGAAGAGTGTAGGGATGACTCGGAGGATGACGACTTCGACGATGATTTTTGTTTCTAGAACTCTCTCCCAAACGCGTACTCCATCGCTTCAATTTCACTCACTCAAGCTTTCAAAGCTTGTTTCTTCTGTACGGTAAGGTCAAATTTGATTATGTGATGATCGATGGCAGAATTATGCTGATGGGGGTTCTAGGTTGGCCCCGCGCGCTTCCTTTTATTCCTTCACACTTTGACAACCTCGATCGCACCTTCCACGTCGAAAACTACAGCGAAGAGACGCCCTCCCTCATCGTCCACGACGACAACATAATCACTCCGCTCGTTGTCTGCCACCTTTTCGCGCGCTTCATCTGCTGTCGCTTCGTCGCCCGCTTCGGTGTTGACCTCTCTTATTTATCTACTCCCACGCGTCACGCACATCGACCGCCGTTGCTCATCGCTGTCACGTTCATCGCCGACGCCATCTACCCTATCTCTAGTGTCGTTCGCAATCACTCATAGCACATAAACACACCTCTTTGCCAGCTTGTTTTTTCGATTGTAGCCATTTCAGCAATCACTATCTCACGCTACCTCCCACGTACCACATTCATAACATTATACGGCTGTTGGTGTCCAATTTCAATTTCTAGTCTTAACCGTCCCACATACTTGTTTGCAATTACCCCGCGTACCATTCTACACTAATCTGATGTCCATAGCGTCCATCCAAAAGTTCGAAGAGAACTTCATCAATCGTTCGTTGCTCGATTCTCTCGAAGCCCAAGGAAACGCAGAACCCATTCATCCATCTCCGCAACTTGCCGTGTCTCACTCAAACTGTGGTGGCAATACTTCTAGTACTGATGCCACCGGCTCATCTCGCCTGCATCAGCCAGACGGTCTCCCCTCGCAACCTTATTCAAATACAAACGAGATATTTCGTTCTCATCAGCCCTTAAATTTGCAGCACCAACTCTCTCAGCAATTTCAGCAGAGCGCTTTTGGGTCTGTCGCATTCGAGTCACGTAGCGGGTATGATTTCGGAACCAACTCTCCGCTAGGAGGCAGTAAGGTTCGTCAACAATTTTCTTCCTCAAACCCGTTCCCCCAAGCGCGTTTCTCTAAGTGCCAACAACAATCGCAGGTCCACGACGCATATCATCCACTATCGCACAGTAACTCTATTTCTCAGATGCCTTTCCTGAACGACATACGCCTTCAAAGCCGGACGCCGTATGATCTCCACTTACAGTCTAACGGTGGCACTGCAGCAGTGTTAGCAAGCAGTGCGAGGCTCATGGGTAGCGTTGGGCAGATGAATTTAAACGTCGAGTCGCAGAGTGTTGATAGTGGGCGGCCAGAAGAGATTTCGACCATCTTTGTGGTTGGATTTCCTGATGACATGCAGGTATGTGCTGAGCCATTTGTGACGTCCCGCAACTTCTGACAGCTTGTGTGTAGGAACGCGAGTTCCAGAATATGTTTACGTTCTCCTCCGGCTTTGAGGCTGCGATCCTCAAGATCCCAAATAAGGATTATACGGCGTACGGGTCGCCCAGCGGCACGACTTCGACAGCTCCATCTGGCCTCCCTCTCCGTGGTGGCCAGCCACCTCGAAAAGAGATAATAGGTTTCGCCAAGTTCCGTACTCGTCAGGAGGCGCTTGAGGCGAGAGATCTGCTTCAAGGCCGCTGTATCGACATCGAGAAAGGTGCAATTCTGAAGGCCAAAATGGCGAAGAAGAACTTGCACACCAAGCGAGGCGTTCAAGGTATGGGTGCCACGACATCCGGAGGTGGTGTTGCATCCTCCTTCCTCCCTGAGTCATTCCAACTTCGTCACCCCTTCGTTATCTCTAATATACTAGTTTATCACTTGTTGTCTTAGGTACATTCCTGTCCCTGCATTGACTCGTAGCTTACATTTCGCGTTCATCGCATATTTCGATTCAGCTACCACCTGTTTTGTGAACTTCAGGTTACCGCCCCAGCACTGTCTCGATATTCTGATCTACACGCGTTGCACACGCGCGTTATGCATATAAGTGACTCAATGGTTCGATGCTGCTGGATCGTCAAAGAAATCTAATTCATTCAAACATGACGCGCGGATTTATCAGTAATAGAGCCGTTTTTCTATTCACTATCTCGATAGAGCACTGATTAAGCCTTCGCTTACCGTTGTGCTGGAGGAATCAACTCTCATCTAGGATGAACGCTTGAGTAGAAAAATAAATAGGAACTTGATGATCGCCACTGGGCCAGTCGCAAATTTCATTTGCCCGAGTTGGTCATAATATAGACGGAACAACTGCCTTCCGTTTCTTTTGGGGAGATTATGCTTCAGTTGCAAACAGTGCTGCGACTCACGGTATATGCACGTGCCTGAAGAAATCTGGTGTAAGTCAAAGCCAGATAATGAGTGAATGATCTCGGATATCATTGTAAGCAACTGTCTTTCTTCTCTTTTGGTCTGACTAGGAAAGACTATAGCTCAATAGCAAACGGTGCTGCGACTCGCGTTATATGCACGCGACTGAAGAAATCCGTTGTAAATAGAAGCCAAACAATAAGTGGATGGTCTCGGATATCATTGCAATCGAAGCAATATTTAAATCTCCCGAGAAAGCCTTGTAAATACAACAAAAAAGAGGGAATATTACATTTCCTAACAAATGGGTCCTAATTAGACTGTCATACCTTGCTGACCGGGATGAACAAAAGTCGTGACCATGCCGGGAGCTCTCATACGAATTTAGGTGAGATGACAAGCGCTAATGGTGTTTTCCGGGATAAAGTCTTGAATGATCTTGTAGTTCAAAACATAACGAAGGGAATTTTATATTGCTCAAGATGTAGGACCTAGCTACGCTATTATAACTTGCCTGCCACGATGGTGCAATATCGCAACAAGGTCGCAAACTCCTCATGGTAAACTAGACTTTCAGACATTCATGGCTATATACCGACAACTCAAATTTCTCCCGCTATACATAGCCATCTTTAGCGGAAGCAGGATTATGTCCTCCTATAGTTCCCACGGCTACCATACCAAGGACTCATCGGTTCTCTGATGATAATCCCATCATGATCATTCAGCGAGTCTGCAGCGCCTGCAGATTGAATGGTACATTTCCTGCAGTATTATCATGTTCAAATTGGACCTTCGATGCTCATCTTAGCTGTGAGCGCATCAGTAAACCACTTTGCACTGTGCAGCGCTGTACAGCGTGCAAGCGCTACAGCTTGGTCCCAATTAGCCAGTCCATCACAGCGACACCTTGCGCTGTGAATCTCTGTACAGACACCTACAGACCGCCCAGTAATTATGAAAATCTACTTGAATTGCAAATTTTTTCGCTGTCCATCTCTGTACAGACACCCACAGAGCACTCAGAGACCCGGAGCTGTACAGACATTTGCTCGCTGTACTGCTTACACACACTGGACAACACAAAAATTTTAAAACAAAAAAACAAAACCAATATATTGAATCACATGACCACGACAAACAGTAAATACAATGATACGTGCGCCAAACATGATAAATGCTTGATATAAACTGGGGAGCGGGAATACGAAGCTTTTAGTCAAGAAGAATCTGCAGGTGGTCGTGTCTGGCATCAACAACTCCTTCGAGATTCATAGCTGCAGCCCTGTACAAATGAAAATCAGTAAAAAAATTATCAGAGAGAAAAGATCCTCACCATCCCGCTGCAGCCCATTCTCGCAGTTGAGCTGACAGCCTAGGCCCATGATACGCATCCTCAAGGATATGTTTGAGCAATTCGAGCATCCGACAATAGACGGGGCCGTAGTCCTTGGTGGAAAAGTTTGGGTATGACTTCCCATGTCCGTTTTTCACAAGACCGTCGAAGACACAATTGAACTAGTTTCAAGACAGAAAATTAACACATGACATTGGCGAGGGAGACGAAATTACCGCCGCAGCAACCAAAGCCAAACATGAGAGTGGCAATTCCGTGCTAAAGGTCTCCGGCATCCTTCGTGCAATTCGATATGGTCCTGTGTAAAAGAATGTGATGACGGCTTCACGAAGGGCGGGATGAGCGAAGTTTCGTGTTCTCCCCTAGAAATCTTCCATCAGTAGAGTTGCGATCACCACAAGATCACTTACCTGATCGTCCACCCCAAAGCGTAAGAAGAATGCTTCCTTGATCAATTCAGCAGCAGTGTGCTCAACCCAAGCAGCACGTTCCTGAACGGGGACAGAAAGCGGAGGAATAAGCGAATATGATACTGGTGCAATGCTTATGGCTGTTTTCTTCAAGTCAGATCGCCAAGTCGAAAGATCGTCGTACAGCTTTAATACAGACTGTCAACGAGATATTGGCACAAAGTCAGTTATGCACGCACCAACCGAGTCATATTAAATTTGTGTTCTGGCCAAACCCCTGCATCAGAATATGACATATTAGTTCGAGAACGAATGAGAACGAACAAGTGCCTACCAGCTTCAAATTGTTTACCGTTCGTATCCCACACAACCAATACTGCAATGAGAACTTCAGTGATTGTTCCTGGAAGATTCTTCACCAAAGTTGGAAACGGGTTCTCCAGGGCGTGTTGCACACGACATTCTACTTTGGCGTCCTCCAAGAAACTTTTCCAGCGTGGTCCGTACCAAGATAATTGATCGGGTGTTGGCCCACCACGCGATGACCTAGACTTTTTGTTTTTCAATGGCTGAACATCACACTCGGACACTTGATTCAGCAGTTCGAGGGATTCAGGATCAGGAAGACGGGGCTTTCCGTTTTTCTTATGATGGCGTTGTAGTACATCGTCAGGCTTCAAGGTGATGGTCTGCTCGATGGTGAGTGTCAATTAAAATGGTCTCCCTGATCTCACCTCAATGTGTTGGGATGCTTGCCGCCGCGGTCCTGGTGAGATATCCGGAGGGTCCTTGAAAGAAAGGCAATGGTAAGCATGATACAATTGAATGATATGGCCATACCTGAGAGCTTTCGTTCCGCTGGATTAACAATATAAAATGAGAGTTACTCCCGGCTTGAGCAGAAAACTTACCGAGGTTTTATCAAGGCTCGTCTGGGCAACTACATCATCTTCATCGCGTGAGTACTGGAACTGAATTTCAGGTGTGAGAGGGCGAGCGACTGGAGATTGCGAAGGTGGTACATCCTCCACAAACCCTATAACATTGAATTAGTGAAGCGAAATCACACGACGAGAATGTGTACCTGGGTGTTCTTTCTGGCGTCGGCCAGCCTCCCCCCAACCAAACTGCTGTGAGCTCTTGACCGTATCATCATTTCCCCCCTCCTCCTCGTCATCCTCTCCGCTGTCCTCTTCATCAGCATCTTTATCATTGCTATCATTGCTGTCATCACTGCTACAGTCTTTAGAGTCACTGTCATCAGATTCAAACGACGTCAGACGACGCTGAGCCCTAACAGTGTCATCATGCTGACGTAGGGCTGGATCTAAATTCTCCTCCCGAAAGACGGACCTTGGCAAAACCACTGGATATTCAGAGACAGCGTTCTGGGTATGTCGCTCAGCAATTGCATCCTGAGTTCGCTTCTCAGCGATAGCGTCCCGAGCTCGTTGCTCGGCAATGGCATCTCGAGCTCGTTGCTCGGCAATGGCGTCTCGAGCTCGTTGCTCGGCAATGGCATCTCGAGCTCGTTGCTCGGCAATGGCATCTCGAGCTCGTTGCTCGGCAATGGCGTCCCGAGCGCGCTGCTCAGCGTCCTTCGCCCCAATGGTGACATGCGGGTTGTGCAATGCCTGAATATTGGGCTGGGCAGTACCGGAATGAGCTATTTCTGTTGGAGCAACAAATCCAAACCTTCCACCAGGTTGCTGGGATGTAAAGCTGGGCCCTGTGGCGATAATGTCCTTGGCTGGGGCATCTGGAGCATCCCTAACGAGTGAGCTGTAGGGTGGAGGAACTGCCTACGAAACAATCAATATGAGTAACAGAATTAATTGGACGCCTACCTTTGAATGATTCTTTCGACCTCTACGACGCGGTTCTGGGGCTTGAGGATTGACTGGAACATTGAGACCAAGGGACGTTGTACCCTTACGTTCTTGAGTCCGAGGCTTGGATTGCAATACTGATCCAATCTTCTCCAGTTGTGCATTCCTACCTCCAGTTCCCGCGTTAGGGCGACCAGAACGCCGGGGAGCATTTTGTTCCGCTTCTGCTCCAGTCAGGCCAAGGGACACGAGGGGTACCGTGCTGGGTACCTCAGCAATGTCTGCAGCCCGAGACTTCTTTGGCAAGCCGGCCTTTGAAGCATCGGATCCTTTGCGCTTGCCAGATCGTTTCTTCTTAGGACTGGCGATGGCACGAGGAGGCATGACTGTAATGAAGAACAGAGGAAGAAGTGACTCTGATAAATTATCCCAGACTTATGATGATTTTATACCATGGCTCATCCGTGTACTAATACTTAATAGCCGTATGGGTAGCGAGAGAAAAGTTTATCATTAATAAGAATGATAGTAATAAAGAAACATACCACCATGAGGATTGTTACTATCACGTCGTACTCCGAATCGATTCGCATGACTAGCGTGAAAAAACCTTCGTCGTTGGTAATGGTACTCATAAGAGAAATTGCCGATCACGTAAGCAAAAATGCTACACATAACATGAATCGTACCAGAACCTACTAGTAGTGATACTATATCAGATCCTGGCGTACTACTAGTATCTTGATTGTAAAAAGATAAACACTTGAAAAAAGCTTGAAAAAGAACGATATAGTCAGAACAACAATATCATAGGTACTGGTCAGTGAACTATAGTAAAAACGCAACATACTAATAGTACAAGCCAGCGAGATTCTAGAAATACTACTGCTAAAGTTAAACATGTCATTCATACTAAGTCAGTGAAGAAGAAAAATAGCTGAATATGTGTAATGAGTAGGCTTCACCTCCTGGTCATGCGTCACTGCCCGATGCTGAGTCAGACTCGGTATCACTATGATGAGACTTTTGCCGCTTGGGTGCTACTACAGAGGGAGGGTCTGAAGCAATCTGTTTGCCCTTAACATGTTTCGTGAGAATGGCAGCATCATTCCTGAGCATGTCCACAGCAGATACGAGCTCCTCGTCGTCGGGGAGTTTGTCGAGATGAGAGTTGAGTACAGCGAGAATGGTGTCGAAGGTAACGGGGTGGATCATGTTGTCCACCAGAACTCTACGCCACTCTACTGCGAGGGGGATCAGCTGCTTGAAGTACGGGTGAAATTGGTCTGTGAGACGCTTTTCCTCTCCTGGATAAGCGAAAAAGGTGATCTTGAAGGCTGCGCACGATCCCAGGTCAAGGCTGGTCCAACGATCCACCAACGAATTGGGCAAGCGCTCCCGCACCATACCGTTGGGACCACAAAACTTGATGCAAACCCAAGCGAACACGAAAAAAAGGGACTCCAGGTCATCCGCATAGCCTTGGATGACGTATGATACAGGTAGCACCAGAGAATCAGAGGATGATTTCGGGGTTTTTGGTTTGTCGACTGAATTGCGTCCCCGAGTCTCTTTCTTCTTCGCCGTCTTCTTCCTCTTCGATTCCAGGTCCGCCTCCTGCTGCAGGACCGCATATTGATTGAGAAGTCCGCATGACATGAAAGGGACTGTGCCCTGGCAAATCAATTAATGAACTGAATATTTAATGAATAAGGTGTACTTACTGTACCGCCAATAGGATATTTATGATCCGAGGCAATCCGAACGGCAAACTCCCAGTCAATAAGAAACCCTTCACTACCTTCAGGTTCGTCTAGGATCATCGCGTTGTTGAGACTACAGTCCCGATGCAAAATCTGACATTCCTCCACCGCAGCTTGTTGAACTAACATCAAAGAGTATCAGTCCAAGACACCTGTACCCCAAAGTACTAAAAACTTACTCTTAACGATATCCCTTAGTGCCCGCACAAACTCCTTCAGTGTTCGGAACATGTGAAGGGGGCGACCACATGGCTTCAAGACAAGACGTACATGAGTACGACTAGTGCCCCTGGTACTCCGGCGTTCTTTCTGCCGATATTTTCGGGTAACATCGGGATCACCATCTGACTGTTCAACGACCCAATGATCCACCAGCTTTGGAACGCCAGGGAGGCCATCCATCAATTCCAGCATCTTGATCTCATTCAAGACTACATTGTCGTCCTTGCCTACAACCCAATGGTCTTTTATTATGTAGTCTTCATCGTCTAAAGTTGCCAAATAGCAAACGGTTCCGCGACCAACAAGACCTCGGCTCGCAAAAATGATTCTTCTTATAGTGTAGACCTTCTGCCCTACACGTATTTTACCGCAAGGTTCAGGTGATTGAGCAGAGTAAGGGAATTGGGAAGGGAGAGGGGTGACAGAATAGATGCTCTCGGTCATCTCAGCCTGGGGCATTTGGGATGCGAGGCTGAGAAGGGGAGCACTACGGGTTGCAGTGGGGTGCACTGGGAGGGAGGGGGGTGGGAAATGCTCTTCGTCCATCGAGTAATGTGTAGCGGAACCGCTCGGACCTTCTTCCGTCGAGTCAGAGTCACTAGAGTCACTAGCGACTACTGATTCAAGGGCATCACTGGACGACACTCCATCAGGATCCTCGGGAAATGGAAGGGAGGAAGTGGATATGGCAACAGTACAGTCCGTCGTACTTGGTCGGGCAGGAGCGTTTCTAATGGGACGATAGCAGTTGATATCTTTGAATCGGGGTGGTGAAACAATCTTTGAGAATGAGACTGTCGGATCATAGCCGACGCACTCTAGACTCCCGAAATTGATGGCAGCGATTATATGTGAAAATATGTCCGGTTGTTGGTAAATATCGAAGCGAGGAGACACGGCGCCACCAGAGTGATCATACATTAGGACTCTAAGGTGGCGATATTCATCTGTGAATGATAATATGAGAGCAAAGCGCCTCCATGGCTGTTCACTCATCATAATATAGGCATGAGTATCTGCAGCCTTCCCGAGTCGCATCGCAGGCCGGTATCGACTGTGAGTGAGTTCGGCTGATACCCTGATGTTCCCCCACTTTGCCGATATATCGTCAGATAGAACGAGATCTGGCTTGCGCTTGATGTCGCTGCCAGGTAATGCCTTCTGTGCACTGGCTGCGCTCCATGTGCTGGTTGCAAAGCGCATTTCTACTAGTTTGGGCTGCGACGCTGCCAAGCAGCCAGCCAGAGCATTGAGAAACGCAGCAAAGATTTCTTCGTGAGTTGCTTTCTGCATATCATCACCCTCTGACTCGCCCTCTGACTCGCCCTCTGACTCGCCCTATGAGTCTGCGCCCGAACGACTACTACTGGCATTTTTAGGAGGGTCAACTGGAAGGGCCCAGTTCCAAGCCTTCGCTTCAGTATTGTACAGTGGCACAAGAGTATCGGGCGATGTCCCGCTGAATTTCTCGTTGATGCGTTGGTTGCGATAAAGGATTTTTCCGAATGGGATTTTAAGGCTGAATACATCGGGAAGAGGAACCGTGAAAGACTGAAATATTTTGGAGAGCAGGTGTCCCAGCGGTTGCGAGGCCTTTGGTGAACCCTCATGAGTGACCAGACGATTGAGCTCGTCAGAGGTGATCTTGTTCATAGTATGGACGTCGGTGACATCGGGGATAGACAACAACGATGACAATTTGATTCCATTGTCAATGGTCCTGAAAAAGAACGCCATTTTTTCGTACACAGACAATAATGGCACAAAGAACGAGAGCTTATCGCCACATAATAGCGCCCATCAAAACTCAGTACTCAGTTCGGTGATCTAAGAATAAGACAGACTAGAATAACTTCTGGCATAGGCTAGATAAGACCACTCAACCATCACGAACGTCGCACGGAAGCTACACCAAAAGCTACATGGAAAGGGGAAAATATACATTCTTATCCCAATACCTGTTGAGCCAGAACTGAGAAGCATGTTCCATGCTATTATATGGGGTGAGACGGTTGTCCGCACTTGCACCGAAGCGAGGGACAAGGTTAACAGGTGCTCTGAGCTGTGTCACAGGTATGACATCGCCCACCCAAGTGCCATTCGAACGCTTCGCTCGTTTGAGCAAGTGGAGCTGCGTACTTGGCTCACGATCATCAGCACCGGAGCTTTGAGGAACAATGTCAAAGCGATGCACGTAAACCAGAAAGTGGTCCTTCCATGACCAATTTGTGCCACTTTTTCCAACAGCACGCATGATAAGCCTGATTTGGCCAATCGTATGACCTGCGACTTGACAATAAGTAGAGATTCAGCGTGACATAAGATCATAACGTACCACGAAGACCATCTTCTGGCCATAAGTACCTCGCCTCATTGTTAATGATGACTGTGTCATACCGGCCACATGTCCAGGGATCAGAAGGAGGTGCACAATTGAGGGTCTGCGCAGGCCGTATGATGCTAGCATCGTGGAAATCGGTGTCCTGCACCCGAAGTTTAAACCAGACTTGAAGTTTGTCGAAGGGAAGTGAAGCAGTAGGTCCAGCTCTTCTAGCCCCCCCAATAGTATGTATGTGATCCCTCCCATGAGTAGCCTCACGACGAAGAAAGTCGGCAATAGCTGGTCGTAAGTCAGGAAGACCAAACTTGATGGCAGCATCATCAACAGATATGTTTCTGATAGAAGGATCGTAGGTGAGGTGAAACGCTGTGCGTTCGACAACGAACGAGCGCACTGGCACAGGGACTGTCCCCACTTCCCTGTGCTGGAGGACCTTGGCAATTCCGAAGTAATTTGTGATTGGATGCGAATGTCCAGGGTGTTTCATTGTCGTAAGAAGGTCTGCTGGGATATCGCGATCGTCGTCCACGTCGAAATCAACATTCTCATCCTTCTCATCGTCATCTGGATCCTGCTGCCCTGAGTCTGGGACATTGTCGAGCAGACTCATAGCGAGGTCAAAGCGGCGGCATTTATCAGCACGGTCAAGATGGCGACATATCTGGGGATCGTAATTATTATTATTGCTCGAGCGAGCAGGACTTTTGATTTCCGTTATGTGGGCATGCTCCGTGGTATCGGCTGTCCATTGCAGAGGAACTCCAGTGTTCCTTATGCTTGGAACTATGGACTGCATAAGCTCAAGCTTCGGTATGTACCAGTTCTCGATAACGCCGCCACGCTGACCACGACGAAATCCACCCTCTATAATAGCATCTTTGTTAGCGTGAAAATGATCAAGTGCAGTGGAAATTCGGGCAAGTAGGATGTCGTCAATTACGGGTGACTGTACGAGATATCGAAAGTCCATCAGAGCTCGTACAGCAGTCATCACTGCGCTAGGAATTGCATCCGCACTGACTGCAACGATCGAGCGTTGAATGTCGCGTTGAGTACGTCCTGTAACCTGTTTGAGTTTTGAAATCCCGCCATGAAAATGACGGAACCCAGTGACAGCCTGCAACACAGAGAACCGAAAGTCAATCTCTGTATCACCTACTGCGCAAATAAGCCACTTTGCGTCGTGGTCGTAGAACTCGCGATGAATGAGGTGAAGAAATTCGGGAGTGAGAAAATGTGATGGATCACTGAGGACCCAATCCATCCAGAATGGTGCGTTCACGCCATTCAAACGAAACTTCTGTGCTTCGCGAAAAAATATCTCGATGTCGTTGGGATCAGCTTTACTCCGCGCAATGTCCAGCTGGGAGAGTGTAGTTGCTCGTGTGCGAGGCTCATGACGGAAAGGGTCTCCAAACTGTTTGTACATGGCCGTAGTGACTGGGGAGGTTTTCCCACCAACAGCAGCCAGCATCATGGCCTCCGGGGTATCGACAATGTAGCTCGCAAGTGGTGTAAAACAGTAGCGACTGTGTCCAACAGGGTCCGATAGCATGACTCCTTCGCGAGCAGCCAGCTTGAGTGGACGGAGAACAATATCTAAGCATTCGTGAATGAGGCGATCCTCAAGTACGCCTCGCATGCATTTTTTCTTGTAGATGAATTTTGGGACGGGAAGTAGAGCGGTAAGCACAAAGGCATTCGAAGACGACTTGAGTCGCGTGGACATGCCTATGTTGGCAAGACTAATCAGAAGGGGGTGTGCAACTCTGTCACCCGTCATGGTTGATATATTCGTCTTGTCAGACGATAAGATGGTCCCCAGGAGTGTTGCACCTCTTGGTAGGGCCGACTGTCCGAAAATCGATAAGTACGACGACTCGCACAGATGAAACTATACGTACCTGCATATTCCACGCATCATCACTAGTCATCCACTCTGAATATACACGGCACAGCCGCTGCGCAGTGCTATACACCCTGCGAGGCGTAAAGTCTAGATGATCGTGAAAGGCAGGGTGGTTGAGAAGGCCCGAAATACAATCTAAGGGATCACGCCAATACAAGACAACGGGCGATTTTGTGGGATGTGCTGTAGGTACTACTTGAGACATCCAGCGCGGGCCACTAGGCAACATTTCCGCTCTGCCACGCAGCTCCTTGGCCGAATGGAACGACAACGGAAGGGTCTTTATCTAAAGAAGACACCTTCAAAAATTGTATGTTATCAAAAAGAATTTATTACTCACCATGTCGAGCGAAAGAAAACTGTCTATCTTCCCCATGCTTAATCCAGAGCGAAGTAGCCATGACCCAACTTCCCAGTCTTTCTGGCCACTGAATGGATAATACGGGTTCGTTGCACGGTGCCTGCTGTTCTCGTCTGAATTGAATACGTCGAGGAACGTGTAGCCCCTGCCGTATGATCGAGCGCAGTCAGGATACGAGTCGATGACTTCTGAGTTATGAGTTGGTGTCCTCTCTTCGTAAGCCTGGCGCTCACTACTACTCCCTCCAAACATCTCATCCCAATCTCCAAAACCACCAGTCTCGATGTCGGGAATAGTATGTGGTCCGTCGTCCATAGTATTAGTACTCACAGGTTCATCGTCCATATCAGACTCAGAGCACGAGCATATCAAATCCTGCAGCCATGTACTGCAGCCAGAGCGAGGTTGGCTCATGTGCCGAGCAACGGCTACATCATCCTTGAAACCACCTTTCCCGCACGAAGGACACTGGAATGTCATATGTAGTACAATCGACGCGTGAGATTCCGAGAAAGCTGTAAGTAATCCCTTGCGGAATCAATAAGCCATATTCTCAAAACACCCATGTCCAACGTACCAATCCACCTAAATATTTCTAGTGACGTACCATCATTGTCAAATATGCGCCCGCAAAACTCCAATAAGTGGCAAGCGAGCCGAACTTCTAGTGAGCCTCCCAGTAGCGGAATCGCTGACTTGTACGACGTGGTCAATGCTATTGGGTCAATGGTAAGTGACTGATATCTGACTCTTACTAGGCACTGCTCGTTAACGTGTGTACAGACCATCAATGACGTTGACGACTGTGAAGCCAACCTGATCATGGATCTCGCAAGGGCCCGACGCGATATAGTTAATGCGGAGAAAAAACTTGCTGATTGCATCGTGCGAGAGCAAGAGGTCATGACCAGTCTTTCAAGATACAAGTCTGTCATTTCCAAGCGGAAGCTTGACAAGGCCGATGTAGGACTAGGCCATATGCGTGTCACATTCAAAAAACACGGTCTTTCACATCAGCCAGCACACGGTTCTCTTGGTAAGTACTCTTATTATGTATACACTACCAACTAACCTCGTCATAGACTCATTCGCATCCTGCCGTCAGCTAACGATCCAGTTGGACTGATGCCTCGTCCCTTCTTTCAAATTGTGTCAAATAGTTTGTATTTAGCAGTACTGGTACTAGGCTAGTAGTATAGTAAATATGGACATAAAATTTTGTTCCATCTCGACGCTTGAATTGTGTGACTTCTAGTACGAAATGTTTGATCCCGCGGAACCAATTCATGTAGGTGAGGAGAAGACAACGGCGAGCGTAGTATACAGACTGTTATTGTAATTGATTGTAAAACAGCTGCAACATCCTAAGGCGACCGGTCCGCTTGTTAAATTTTAATTTTACTAAGTACTTTCAGGTACTACTACTACTAGCGCTCGAGGTAGCTATTTTATTGACAAACACTGTGAGGCTGTACATCCTGTGAGCTCTGTCTCTCTGTGGGTTACTGTTGAAAAAAATTCAATGCCCGGGAGAAATGTGCTGTGAGTGCTGTCCTGCTGTGGGTTACTGTAGGTTACTGTCGAAAAAATTTGATGCCCCGGAGAAATGTGCTGTGAGCGCTGTCCCTCTGTGGGTTACTGTGGGAAACTGTCAAAAATGTCGATGTCTGTGGGGAAATTTGTAGTTTACAGATGCGGTCCAATGTTAGCGCATATGGCCAGGTCAGCACCGCTTCGATATTATATCTGAAAGTCAGGCTAAATCGGCTCGAAGCCGGATAAGTTGATTATTCATATCACAGGTCTTGACTGTCTTGTGAGCTCCAACTAGATGGTTAAACGAGACTCGCACAGAAAAAAGTATGAGCAACTGCATGTCTTCAATCTTGTCGAGTGGATGAATAAAAGCGGTGAAAAAAATGAACTTTTGACTCAATCAAACTGCGCATCTTTTAGCTAACACGCATTTGATTTATTGCTGGCCAGTCTGACTCGTGGTGTTATATTTACACCAAGACCAAACAGTGCGCGGATACCTCATACATGTACTCCTGCAGGCTGGAGTTCTTTCACCCAGTATCACCTCTATTCCTTTCTCAATCAGCAGCGTTCTACATATTGCTCGATCAACAACAGTGCCAACATGAATGCGGGAACACTCGCTAGTGTGTCGCTATGGCCTGTTCTCAGGGTGGAGGCTCATCGCAAGCTCGCACACGCCAGCATTGCAGGTATCAGTGCTCTCGCAATAGTCACTATCCTTTACGCAAATATTTCCAGGTGGGCTACATCTTGGTTGCCTTGCTGTGACAGACAATATAGGCGCTATCAACCCAACAATAAAGGTGAGGAAAAAGAAGCGCATTGTTTGTTTGAGGTGGCATGGTTGAGGTGTTCGGATTAGTGCTGCCGCAGTCCGGTTCCGAACCTCGGTTCGAACCTGAACCTTTCCGAACCGGACGCATGGTCCGGTCCAAGGTTCGGCCAAGACTCAGAACCGAACCTTTCCAGAGGTTCGGGGTTCGGGCTGGTAGTGAATAGGTTCGAACGGGTTCGAACCTCTCAATTTTTGTACGCTTTACACTTTTTTAAAAAGATGTAAGTATTTACTATGTGTCAATATATGCAAATGCATGTGTCTGCAACCCGCGCAGGTTTGAGCCGGGTGAAATTGACGCGGTCCTCTGTCGCGCCTGCCGCAGTCGTGACGCGCTGTGACACAGTACTGCACCGTCACAACATGTTCAAACACTAGGTATCTTATGTCGCTATATGAATTCCAAACACTTTGAACTCTTGCTAATGATTAATATAGGTAAGTACTACTTGGGAATGTTATGAGCCATGCTGATCAAAGTCGTTGCTTATTGTTCGCAGGAAGTGAGTATGTCAAGATTTTCGAGCTCGAACCATTCTGATCCAAATCGTTGGCGGACCAGGCCACCGTTCCTCGTTCGAACAAGAGCCGTGCTGATCCAAGACGTTGGCCACCGTTCGCAGGTCGTGAGTGTGTCGATCCTCGTTCGAGCAACAGCCATGCTGATACAAGTCGTTGCCCACCGTTCGCAGTTCGTGAGTCTGTCGGTCTTCGTTCGAGCTCAAGCTATGCCGCAAGTTACCGTGTTCATCCTCGAGGGTCTCAGGTGGAGACCTGTCAGGGGTAGCTGATGGGATTAGTGTCACAGTGGCTGCTATTGGAGGTACGTCTTATTTCAGTTGTGATGATGCGATAATGGACGACCACCTTTCACTACAGGCTTTGCGCATCGCGCGACGATGCAGGTCGTGTGCGCGGTGATCACTGATCTCAAGTTTTTCACTTTTGGTTTTGGCCGCCGGTGAGTGGTATCGTTCATCTTTCCACCTTTTCTCATGCCTTACTTGAAAATACTAGAGTGTGTCCTGGTCAACATGTCGCGAATCGGTCCATCTTCATCAATACGGCTGTTATTCTCTGGGCTTTCCGCCTTTCAGAGAATCCTGCAGCGAAGATTGACACGCTTGCAATCTCGAATACTGCAACCGTACATGCTGCTGCGTTTGAGATGTGTTTAGAGAAGAGGATCGATGAGAATGTGATCAGGGAACTATGTGCACCGGGCAAATAAAATGTGTTTATTTTAGAAACTTGAATTCAATCTTTGTACAAAGAAGTTCTCCTTGCGTTAGAGTCTTTTCGTTGTCTGTCCGACTCGAATTACATGACAACTCATGGTCTCGAGCCTATACAACCACAGATGGTCCAAGCTTAGTCGAACCTGGTTCGAACGCGAACCGGACCCTCCTGAACGCGTTCGGTGACGTTCGGTCCAGGGTTCGACCAAATGGCTGAACCGAACCTATGGTTCGGTTCGGCGTTCGGAAAATTTGCCCCAAGAACCGAACCGAACCGGACTTCGGCAGCACTAGTTCGGATGATTTCTTTGAGGTGGGTAGATGCTGGTGACGAATCTACGATAGCAAAATGACTTGCTTTTATATTATCATGTAAAGGTTTTGCAAAATGGATATGCTTGGAGGATGATACTGCGGTAGAACCTATCCTCTCTGGTCATTTCGTGGATCCTGCATCGGTTGTGATGCACAGTTGACGTGGCTATGACAAGGCAAAAAATGCCATACCAACTTTTCACAGTTTGAATTCAATACAACATGAATATTGAATACTGATGTCCCTAAAGTAAGACGATGTATACCAGGCTGGAGGACGCCCCTTCGCATCGCTGTTCCAACCAATTCCGAAATTCACCTACTCAAGGTGTGCCGTGACGATACTTTCAATTGTAGGGCATCATGCAGGCGAAATAAACACATTCTCTGATCTCAACACAATAAAATCTTCGGTAGAACTTGCAGAAGCGTGTTGATCACACGCTGCTGTTACTAGAATCCTATTGTGTTAACGGAGTGTAGTTCATAATTGTAACAATATATACAGGCCCCCTGAGGTGCTAAACACCAAATCCTAAGACGCTCAGCGCTCAGTACTCAGTACTGTGCTCGGCTGTCACCGTGAACAAATTTTACCCTGCTTGAGCATTGAATATTGAAGCCTGGCATCAAATCAGAGGAACATCTCGAACACTTGCCAACTACATAAAACATGACTGAAGTACTTATGACATGCTATTGTCGTCTCGTTGCAAGTGAATCTCTGGAGTCTGTATAACTTGAATCAATGTATTCCTGGGCCTTGGCCTCTCAGCGCCAGCTCGCAAATATTGCTGACGGTCATTGTTGTGCTTTCCGAACTCGATCCTTCACTCATGTGCATTCACCAGGCAGACCGTGCATGTCCTATCATTTTCTCGGACGACTTTTTTAGTTGCTCTATAATCTTCTATGCTCTCGAAAATCTGACACCCAATCATCTTTCTAACACATCGCTCGCTCAAACCCCCCGAATTCAAATGCAACGCTACGTACATATATAACAGACGACAGATCAACTGTACACTCCATATCGTACTCCACAAAGTGTCTCTGGCAGCTCCGCCAATTAGTTTACCGGAACGAGGCTATCGTGATGAAGAGCTATAAGGATCGAATTGATTAACTACGAGAAATGGGAAACACTAGAGACTCACTCCTTGTAGCAGTGTTGCCAGTGTGTGCCGTGTGCCATGCGACTTAAATCAAGCTCAACACCTCTGGGTATCACAAATGCAGTCCGAGGATTATATCTGAATGCCTTTTGAGAAGCGGGTGGTACCCAGAATAAGAGCCGACGATTGGGTCAATTGAAAATCTGTCAAGTGTAATGACTTGTTGGAGATTCACAAAAGCTTTTCTTCTCTGATGAAATTAGCGCATTCTAGGGCCTGCTGAGAGATCTGTCCCAAGATGTCCCTCATTGACGAAATTTTGAGAAGCGTGTCGTCTTGCGTTATGAAGCCATACACTTGACCCAACTTCTTGTAGAGGACAAGTACCGCTTCGTCACGATCCGCTTGAGCAAGAATTATCTGCGTGTAGAACAAGTGACAGGAAATACGAATAACAGCAAAAAACGTACTTTTGATGCGCAAGAAAGCACGCCCAATGCCATCTTTGCATACGGATGCACCTGCAGAACGGTGTTAGTGTAGCTCCAAAGAGGAAGAGAGACATACCTCTGCTATCGTCCCGATCACAGTGTCGAATACCCTGAGGGGTTGAAGATAAGTGGTACCTATGCTGTCTATATTATCGAGCGCTGCTGGTCCTTTTGTGCCTGCGGATAACACGGGTCTCGCATGTCCCCAAATTTGGTTCATCTGATCTGCACCATGACCAGCATCCTGAAGTGCCTTGTTCACAGATTGGGGATCGGCGCCTTGTTGCACAACAGTAGAAGTATCCTGAGCCTGGTGTAGCCAGTAAAAGTTAGAAAGAGAACGGAAATCAGAATGTCACCTACTTAAACGGGGTTGTGGCTGCGTGAATCGTTGAACTTTGAGCGCTTGTGTAAGATATCAGCCTTAACCCCGGACTGAGTATTGATTTCGACTTACTGAAATCTTTTTGACAACACCATTCTTAACCCTGCCCAGCAAGCCACAGATTTTGCCACGGGGTCGGCCCTAGAGAAAGGATGAATCGTCATTGAGTTTCAACTTCATGAATATCAACCACTTACCCGGCGTTCAGCAGTATTTGTTTCATTGGGTGTCTCTATGTCTGGATGAGGAACTGACCTCGGCTCAGAGTTCCCCAATTGAATGGGGTTGTTCATGGTGAATAGTTGAGGCTAATGATCAAAGTAGTGTAAGACAAGAAGTTGGAGAATTAGGGTGCGCGCTGGCCTCGAGGCAATGTTTGCTACTATGTTGACTTCAGGTGCTAAGCATTGGGTGGGCGCCACAGAACTCCGGGACTCGGAAACGCAAGGGAGAATGAATAGATTTGCTGATCGGGCTATATATAGCCACATATGTATGACGCTCCAAATGCCACTTTAATAAACTGCGCGATACACAACGTAAATGCGCGATACACACCGAGTGCGCGATACACAACGTCGAGTGCGCGATACACAATGTCGAGTGCGCGACACGAAAAGAACCGCAGCCTGAGCTTTCAAGTTGGGCCTTGAAGTTGTCTTAGAAGTGCTTCAAAATGACAATATCATGGATTTCGAAGGTAAAACTAAACTCTATAAGCGCTAACAAAGTAGAGTCCGAGAGTGGGAAAGAAAGACCCGAAAGTTGCCAGCCTCGAACCTTGTTACTAAGGGCCTGGCCAGTAGTAGTAATGATTGTATTGTTGTCATTAAGGGAGTGCATCGTGGTATGCGGCAAGGGTAAGTTTGGTCAGAGTCGCAAGGCATAGGTGGCAATGAACTTGAAGCTTCGTCATGATAATTATTGTACTAGAAAAGATATCAAGTAGATCGCAGTAGGGCACGAGAAATTAGACGGAGATAGTTACGTCGCCGATGAAATAATCCTCAGACCAAGGATTAATACGAGGAGGGGCAGATGGGTCCGTCATTCAACTACTGGAGCTGAGTGATATGTATCTTTGCAAAGATGCACGTGTCTACGCTGTTCATCATCTCCAGCGCCAACGCTACTCACTCGAACCAACACAACTTATCTCACTTGCATTGAAGTACAATATCAAAGACTTCTTTCCGCATGCTTTCGAGCGGCTCGTTTCAGCTCGCATCAATGATATATCTGACGAGGAACGTCACACGGTTGGATCTATTGTATGGAACACGATGTTCAAAGTCAAGGAATGCCTCGATGTACGGCGGGGGGGCCGGGCCCACACCGCCGGATCATCGCATGCGAAGCCCCACCCATGGTGCATGCAGCAACTTGCATGAAGCAAACGAGATGTGAGGAAGACTGGAAGCAGCTGTGGTGGAATGGAATGGGCAGGTTTTTGCTGGACGGACGAAATCCACAACCTTACAAGGATGCTGTTGAACGATTCGAAAAACTTGACATTGGAGAGATCAACTTGGACTGTTGGAAGGCGGTGTTATATACTGTAAAAGCTCAAAGCGCTTTTGATCACGAGCGGACACTCATCACTCGTACAGCTGATAATCTTGCAAAACGCTTGATCGTTGAGCCCAGCTTCGAAGATTTCAGCCATCCAATTGATTAGAAGTACTACCTACATGAAATGTCTTGACATAGTACTAGTATGGTATCGCGCACTCGACATTGTGTATCGCGCACTCGACGTTGTGTATCGCGCACTTACGGTGTGTATCGCGCATTTACGTTGTGTATCGCGCAGTTTATTAAAGTGGCATTTGGAGCGTCATAATCGACTGACATGAAGCACAAAAGTTGAAAAAGTTGACCGGTCACCGGACCTAGTTTTCACACGCAGATGCAATTCTACAGTACCTGACTTGAACTTACCACGACTACGAGTCTTTTCAAAACCATGGTACTGTGTTCACTTCACGTTCTCGCACTAAACTATATCCATGGAAACGTTGTCAAGAAGCTCGTAATGAAACTCTCTGTAGTAAAGAAGCCGGACGAGTCGCTCGAATGCCCAGGCCCCGCATTCATTGCTCCGAGTCACACCCACCCACTATTATTAGTGATAACGAGACGATACGCCTCTTCCTGAGGCTGAATAACTGTTCAGTGACGAAGAGGACCGACTACAAGCTGAAGATGGTATCCTTGAAGAAGACGAAGATCATCAGGTATACAATGGGTCACGTCAAACGCGAGAGCACTTATTACGTGACTGCCCGTTATTCATATGCCAACGCATCCACTTGCACGCAGTATCCAACATCAACATACTCAACAAGACCCTGGGTATGGAGAAGGAGATAGAGGCGCAAGCAAAACTCATTCATGAGCCTGACGCTTTCAAGAAGGTTGCCATACTAAGACATCCGTCAGGTTGACAACCCTTGGAGCTATGTGGAGATGGCTCCGAAATGTTGAGTGCTTATGGACCCAGTCGACGGCTGGTTAGAAACTCGAATGTTCAGTAGACAGTAGTTCGACCCCACGTTGGTGATGGACCTTGGCTGGCAATCTGCTGGCACTATAGATCGGTGCCATCTGGTTGAAGGCACAACCACGCAAGAAGAATTTCAAATAACAACATTCAGCTCATAAAAGCCAACCGTCTTCTTCAGAATTACCTGATTTCTTATCACAAGAGTCACAAATAATGCGTTTCTCCTCTGCATTTGTCCTCGCCGTCGTTGCTGCTTTAGCCTCATCATCCGTCTTTGCCATACCCCCTCAGGTTGACGAGGCTGGCACCACTCAATGTCGAAACTTTTGCTACATTGATGAAGATTGCCAAGAATTTGGCTGCACTCATCGGACTTGCGTGGGTATCAGTAGTCTTCGTAGCTCCGATAGCCTGGCTCACTTGCATGGCAGCTCTTCAATTGGTTCTGCGTAGTGAGTCGTGTTTCTGCCCTCGCATCCATGCAGTATGGCCATTGGCACTGACGCGCGAGTGATTAGTGATTTGCAGATTTGATCAATGAACCACGATCGCATTCAGATCCCCCTGGTCGCTACAAAATTTAACATAAGACCGACGTTATTCTGTAACATGCCCTCAAGCTTTCCTGGGTCATCATTACAGTAGGACCAGGGCCGTTTGCTCCTATATCTTGCATGATAAACCTCTTGACGATGTCTTCGGAGCCACGCACATCCATCCAGTGAATAGTGCTCGACTGATTTACCGAACACTTTTTCAAACAACTATCAGTACGAACGTTTATGCAGGAATTTGAGTTGTACAAGAACAAATTAGAGTTTAATTCAAAATATCGGACTGGAGATGAGCGCAATGCAACGCCCCAGTCTGTAATTTCCAAATTTCTCCCCTCATTGCTATTTGCGTGCTGCTACATAGTGAACAACAACTATTCTAAGTGAACCGGTAACCATTCCCGTGTCACTGTTCGTCACCTACCCCATCAACGATCAATCCTTGAACATACATCTCCTAGTTCCACAGTATGTACATGTCACCCTAGGGAGTTTAGTCCTGGTGTTGTGCACCGCTACAGTTAGTATCATTGATCTGATAAAGATGCTACATCGTCACGTGACAGACGGGTTATTTTATGCTACTCAAATAGTCGAAGCTCATACAGGAGCGCACGTTACGGTGAAAGTGAATAAAGGTGAAGAGTATTTGATTAATATCACTTCCTGCCTGGTACTACTACGACAGCGCCGGGGAGCTCGAGAGCGGTAGTGTCTCTCTTCACCGAGTGAGTGTTGGATGGTAGTCAATAGTATATCGTATGCACTGTTTACATCGGGCGTTGCCCCAAGAAGACAATAAATAGGATTAAAAAAAGTGTTGGATGGAGTGCAAGTGATAGTTGACAAGAAAGCGGAACTTGGAACAGCGTTGGTTGATGGTCACTAATTTCATCAACGCTGTTCCTTGTCTCCGAGGAAGTATAGGGTCATCGAGGTTTGCCATGGAATAACTTGATATTGTCGTAGTTGTCCAAAACTATAGTGAGCTGTGATGGCTGTGGCCATGACTACTGTACCAGGGATCTTCGACCAAGCGCATGCAAAGAATGAGAATGACTATCAATTTCCAAAAGATACCTCATTATCTGCGCAGCAGTTGCAGGGTCACTGGCCTACGAATAGCGTAGGCGAATTCCAGGTGTGCTGCATATAGGGGAACAACCAGTAGGTGAAAAATCACGCGAGATAACGACCAAGTACATATCGGAAGTATCAGCGAGAATGATACTAACTTCTTGACTTTGTCGTTGCACTGGCAGGGTCAGTGCAGGTTCAAATGATGAAGCGAAGAGTGAGGCCTTGAGGACGAGAGACCGGTGGTTCGAGTGAGGGTCCTGTAATTACGAAGAAGAGAATCGTCAATGCCTGCAGGCAGGTTATGATTCAATGGTCGTTCTTAATTGAATACACCCCCGCAGGTTCTGCCGAAATTTGTTCCATGCGACAACAGTTCTGCCAAATCGATGAGAAGAATCGTGCCCATAAGTGTATGCAGGATATAAAAGCTGGTCGTCGTCCTACAGTGTTCCCTCATTCTCAAAGATATCATTCGAGATCCCCTTCAGAAGATTCCATATAACCTCGCACAGAAAATGCGTTTCTCCCTACTTGCCGTTGTTGTTGCTTTGACAGCATCTATGTCTGTCAGTGCATGTGCGAAAAAAGGACAATTATGCGAAACAAGCAATTGCTGCAATAACTTGGCTTGTGACGCTGATGTGAGCAGGTCGCTGTGTAACAAGGATTCAACCGCATGACTCACGTGTGCCTCTTAGGGAGGAAATCTGGTCTGCCACTAGCCTGCTTGAAAGTTGAAATTAATCGGGCAGCCCGAGCAGCACATCGCGACAGTGAGTCATGTTTCTGCTTTCGCTTTGTTATCATGGTTGATGGTGTAATACCTAGTTCAGAGCCAATCAGTACTGAGTACAGTATAGTACGGTTGTTTTTGGGAAAATTTCGCACTGCTCGAGCAATATTATGTAATGTTTGTGAATGCCATGATCTGAATGGTCGATCGCGTGACCACTGCCCAGTCTTGCCCAGTCTTACAACAACCGCTTTGTTGCTGATCGCATTCATGACAGGCGTGTTGAAGCCCAAGGAAGAGGATAGTCCGCAACTTGTAATTCTCCGTGATACCCGAGTCTTTTCAACTATAGTACTGTGTTTATTTCACATCCAAACTGTATTCATGAAAAAGTTGTCAGGAAGCCGGACGGGTTGCTCGAATACCCGCATGCACTGCTCATGTCCGCTATCAATGATGACGAGACGATACGTCTTTCTGAGGCCGACTGACTGTTCAACGAAAAAGACTAACTACTACAAGTTGAAGATGATAAAAGTGAAGGTTGGCTTTGGGTAAGGATGGTATCAGAAGGCCCATGGACAGACACCATCAGAGAACAGCTCTGCCAAATCCACCAAATCAGCAAAATATAAAAAAAAAACAAATTTGCGAACAAAGACAGAGGCACAGCTTGAATAAGATAATGTCGTACATGCATAAGAAGGCACGGTCATCGTCAGAGCTCTCAGAGATGCCTGCATCCGCAGCGTTACTTTCGTTCAAAGCTGACCACGCCATGTCTACTGTGGTTTCGACGAAGTCCAGGCCCTTCTTCTTGATGCTCTTCATGTACCCAGTGTTCGCTTTACCCCAGAGATCGCGTGAAAACAGATATGGAGCACTTGTCACCTTCCCGGTGACCTTGTTGAGTACTTTGGGAAGCTTGATGTTCAACTTGCTGCGTGCTGAGGTTGATGCTAAGATGTCCTCGACTTTGATATCGCCATCTGAAATCAATGTGATGGCATGCTCAAGCTATGTGAATTATTTGAGTGGGACTTGGAGCATTGCTAACAAGAAAATGAACAGACCGCTGTAGCACAAAATGCAATAACACCAGCCATCCCTTTTGTTGCAAGGTCCTTGGTTTTCAATGCGGGAATGGTAGCATGGCCATTAATGGTGCTAAGGTGGGCCTTTCCAAGGAGCTGCAGCATAAATGCAGAGTGGAACGCCCCGTCAGGCTCGCACTTGTCCATGTCCTTGAAGATGAAGGTGAAATTCTTCAAGAGGAGCCCTGCAAGAACCTCTGGGTCACAGTCATTGTTGCTCGTCAGAAAATCGAAGATGATTGCGATGGCCGTAGAGCCGAAGTTGCTCCGCCACTCGGAAAGCCGTTGGACAGTCTGTGAGTCAGAACAGATAAGTAGTGAGGTGTTGTAGACATCTGGCATGACAAGAGCGTATGAATGAGAAAACAGCACCATTCTGAACAATGACAAGGTTAAGCTCCAGGTAGACTGCCTGAAATGCAATTTGGATATGCATCAGTAGAGTTTCATCTGGGATGCTCCAGAGGGATTCTTGGCTGCCAGCCCACAACATCATTGTCGGAAGGAATTTTTTAGCCCAATGGTGGTCCGTTTGGACTTGTTCAGGAAGGTCGGTGTTTCGATATTGCGCTCGAGGCTTCAAGTTGTCATGTGGCGTGTCAACATTGACTGACTGCTCCTTGGGTTTGGCAGGAGTAGCGCGAAGAGATGTTGAAACCTTAAGTGATTCTACCTTTGCCTTCTTAGTGAGAGCAGGTTTGGTGTCTGTGGTCACGACTGACGTCTAATAAAAAAATTGCATCAGAAAGGACAACTCTATATTATTAAATTCTCACCGAGCTTGTGGTACGGGGGGGCTTTCCAGGCTTCACTTCATATGTCAGATCACTCTTGTCCGGTAGGTCGATTTCCATTGTATTGTCAACTAAAGGTGCAGTGAGTCTGATAGCATCAATGTCAACGATCAGTGTTGACTCACAGGCATCAACCGACAAAAAATCTAAATCTTCGATTTCACTCCCTTCAGAGGCCTTCCTTTTGAGGTTGCCAACTGCAAAGGAAGCCTTAGGCAAGCCTACTGGCGAAGGCTGGGTGAACGGAGCACGAAACTCTGCTGGAATATCCAACTCATCATCAGAGTCATCAATGGTGAGAGTCAGCACCGTCTTTGAATAATAATGTCAGATGTTTTTCGAAAGCTAAAAATTAAAACATTACTGCTGCAGCTGACCGCCCTTCCTTGGTAGTGATTCCATGTGCAGCCAGGCATTCCAATTTGTCAATCTCGTCCTCATCCTCGTCATCAGCAAAACCTCCTGGTATATCCTCATCTACACCTGAACATTGAGGACTGTTAAGAATACCAGTCGGGATTTCACTGTGAGTTGTCTTGGAAGAGCCCGTAAGATGAGAAAAAACTGTTGAAGGAGGAGGCGATGTGTGAGTCACATGACTCGGCGGTGCATTCTGATTCTTGATGGGTATGTCGACGTCTGAGACCCAGCTCTTAACTTTGCTGCTAAGAGTATACTCAGGCTTGTTCCTATGGTTCAAAGTTAAATTGAGGAAGAACGTTGTTGATTCGGTGAGCAGGAGCATGATGAGAAGGTTCAGGGAAACCTACACTGTGACATCCATTGAGTCGCCCTTCTTATGGACACGTGCATCCTTATCTCCGCCATCAGCAGAAGTTGTCTGTTTGATTTGCTCACGCGCTTGATTGACAGCATCCTTCATCGAAACTTTGGTAATCTTCTTTTTGGAGTCATCCTTGCGACCCATCTGCACATGAGCCGGTAAGAATCTCTGGCTCTTGATTCAAGTTGGTTCTGACCTCATCGCCTTCACCATAGGCTGCTGTGACATCCGCCTGACTCAGACCATCCTTTACAGCCACCTTCTTGCCTTTGGTGGGAATTGGACGAGGCCGAACTCCCTTAGCCTTCCTTGCCAGTGTGCTCGTCTGTTTGGCTTCCATCTCCAGCTCTATACCAGCAATGCGCTTAGCTCCTGCTTCAACAGCTGCAGCCCATGCTGCAGCCTGCTCTGCCTTTTCTGCTCGAGCAGCAGCAACTTCTTCGGCCATACGTCGGGTCTTCTTTGCCTGCAAGAGAATCGCACCAGGATGTGCAATTGCATTGGAGGGACGAGTACGACGAGTTACGGTAGTGTCAGCAGGTTGGGAAGGCATATTGATATGAAAGATGCGGGTGAGGAGCTGCAAGTGAGGTGGGCAGAAATTTGCAGGTAGCAGAGAGCGGCAGGAAATGGTCTAGGTTCAGTGAAAACTTTTAAGTGTGTTACCCTTATCCCAAACACGGACAACGTGTTATTGATTACGACCATGGCACTCAGGCTCGAAGCATGGTTTACTTTGGACCGAAACCATATTTTCTTGGTGCTAAGCATAAACTATGTACATGCCCTGTTTTTTCATGCTTTTACACACAGTTGATATTCTTCAAAGGAACCGGAACTCTCGACCAGACCATAATGCACTCCAACTCCCTTGTGGATGCTCCAATTGTCAGCGCTATTTCAAAACTCAAGCAGGACGAACCAAACATTGGAATTCAGCCCATCCTACAATCACAAAGCCACCTAACTCTTACCATGCCAGTGTTTCTGAAGAGCTAGAAGAGCCTTACTATCTGGCCCCTGCGCAACCACATGAGCCGCAGTTTGACTTTCAAGAAGTCGAGAATGATTGGTTGAATCTGATGGGACATGATGGGACGCACAACTCACCAGCTCCAAGAATTGACACTGAGTTTTGGGGGCCAGGAGACTGCTTATATCGGAACTTTCACAAGGACCTTGATGGTAAATGCTTCACTTCGTTATTAGATCAATTTTCTAACAATG